GGCCCTAAAAAGGCTTGAAAGGGCCCTCTCATGCTGGTGGCAAAGGGCTCGCATATGACATCAATAACAGCTTTGTCAAAAACGGACCTGAGAGACCTTGCCGGTCCCTGGTTAGAAGGGACTCCTGTCTCTTGCAGTAACCTGAGTGGCCCACGTTTACTGAGGGGCCCCTGGTTATTGAAGGAGTCCCTGGTTACTGGAAGGACCCCTGGTTATCAGAGGGTTCCCTGGTCACCTGGTGGGTCCCTGATCAATTGAAACCTCCCGATCATCTGAGCGCCCCCTGATTGCCTTGGTCTTGGCGTTGGCGTACAGTTTAAAGTCGTCGGCACACTGCGGCCTCCTCTTTCTCAACAAGTCCCTCTATTTCTTCTGCAGCGAGGGCGATTTCGTCAAAATACTCCTCCATCGCGAAGCCTCGTGCGCAGACGCAGTCTTCGGGGCGCTCGCTGCGCCAACTCTTGACGCCAACTGACGGGCTCCAAATGGAACAGATGGACTCCGAAACGAGCGTGGGAATGCCGACACATGATCCCTCCAAATTTACAGAGGAGGAGATGTCCCTGACAGCCCATTTGCAATAGGGGTCACTTTTACACTATAGACATATGGGGAATTCGACCTTATCGACATGGTACTACGAGGTCAGCTGATCTGCTTGGCATTTAAATCGTAGTAAAACTGGCATTTAAACGCTGCGAAACAACTTACGTACAACGTAGCTCCGATTTGCCGCTCTTTCTTTTTCATCCCTCCGATTTTCTTCCGATCAAGAGAAGTTTCGTACCGAGAGAAGTTTCGCAGCCACGTCCGATATAACTTACGATAGCACGGATCTAGAGTTGCAAAGTTTCCCCCAAAGGCTGCTACCGGCACCGCCCCGCCCCACAAAAATTTTCTGGGATACCGGCATGCTACCACGCCCCAAGCTAAAAAACCACCAAATTACCGGCATACTAAAAAACCTGCATTCTTGATTCTAGCTTATCCCTGCAAGAGATGCCACATTTTGGCAGTTTCAGTACCTGTCCCACCCAGCAGCCATCCATTGTCCAACCACAAATACCAGCAGGCTGATTTTGGCTGAGTTGGCCCCACAAATACCCACAATTTTGAAACTCAATTGCAGTCTATAACTGTTAAAACATCACCTGTAATCAAAGAAGTATTGCCTACAAAAAAAAACTAGCACATTTATCAAAAAGGTGAGAACAAAAAGGACTTCAATTACTGAAATGTGTTTTTGAAGACTGGACAGTGAGCAGTAATCATATTTACATTTCACAGGTGTTCTACTTTTCCACATTCTCTTAACATGTTGCAGGCGCCAGCCAAATGTTTAAAATCTACATGGTCAAAACATGGGTAAACAAGTACAGATTCGGCCATCTTCCTAACTGAGGAAGCGAGATCAACATCTACTTTTTCCTATCCACTATGGCTTGCTGGTTCGTGAATAATATACGAATCATGTAAAAAAAATGTGTTAATAACTCACTGGTCCTGAGAATAGTCACCAAATAATATGTAGGGGAGAGCGGGGCCAGTTGAACCACTTTTTATATATTGACATGCACAGCGAGATCTAGTTGTCATATCGAAAAATGCACAATACCATGAAAAAATATGCTCTTTTGGCTTTATTTTAAGATATGTAAAATTATGTTTCAAACATATTTTGCTGCCAAACGCATGCTTATAAAACAGCTCTACGCCCGTTTCAAATGACCCCGATGCGAGGGTCAATTGAACCAGCCCATGGGGTCAATTGCACCTATCCTTAACAATGGGATGTTTTCCTCTTTAAGGCCACTTTCTTAAGGAGATATTTTGTCCGGTTTACTTTTCCAAATGCTACATTTAATAGGTCGTTGGAAAGCTAAAAGTGCAAAGTTCCTCATAATAGGTGACACAAAGTACATAGACTATGGTAAAATGGGCGGATGAGGAAAATGAGAAATATCTCAAGCTATAGTGTGCTTTCAAGCAAAAGGCTGGAGAAAAAGGGGTCAAAAATTGAGCTGTATTAAACTACTATTTCAGTTTAAAAGCTCATTTCAAAGGTGGACTATTTCCTTTAATGTTTACAGCCCCTGAACAATAACCATTGCAAAGGTCACCGGGGTCCATTGAAACGGATTGTGGCCCTGTTTCAACTGACCCTCAGAAAAGCGTTTCAATTGACCCCATCCGCTCCCGCCATCTCGCACGCGCCGTAAAGCACATGTCAAACGAGCTGGAGGGACGGCATCATGCAGAATGAAGGGCCAAATAAGGTGTTATTCCGGAGCCAGGAGTTCTTCTTTCAGCAAACAAAGGTATATGAGATATCACAAAATATTCATAAGAACGATTTCTCCCAAACGCCCCTCAAAAACACAAAAACAAGTGTCAAATCGAAACTACCGTCCGTTTGCCGCCCAAACGCCGTTGACAAAGGGAGTGGTCGAGCGCGGACGCGCAGTGGTGTCGGCAACGCCATATGTTGCATACTGTTGAAAATAAAGCCATGTTTCATCTGACCCCGTGTTTCAACTGGCCCCGCTCTCCCCTACAAAAACGATATCTTCCATCCTCTCCAACCTCAAGCGGGAACAAACACAAGAGGATTTCGAAACAGATGCGCCACAGAGGCTTTTAACCAGCTGATTAAAACGCTGCAAAAAAAGTTTAACGACTGCAAGCCACTGCCTCGTGAATGATTATATTGATAAAAATTATCCAACACAATATTAAATTATAATGAATTTAACATAGTGAGTGTAAATCACTACAATAAAATTTATTTCTCTTCAGTTATTCAACCTAAAGGGTATATGAATAAATATTACGTCATCAGATTACATCCATTCATTAGGGGAGAGAGAATCTTAAAAGTAAATCCTTGGTTGTCTAATTATTTGCGTCACTTTGAGTCAATTTTGCCAGCATGATGTGTTTTCTTGTAAAGATAAGACAAAATGCCAGTTCAAATCCATTTTCATTTAATTATGGGACCAAAGTCAGGCTCAGGGCTACCTAACACATGCCTTTTCAGCTGGATTTTCAGTGTCAAATTCTTTGAAGAGTTTCTCAGACCACATCTTGATCTCATGATCTCAGGACTCAAGGCCAGTTTCCAAACATTGTGTTTTTTGGTGTTTTGATTCTGCCTTTTCCCCTAGGGAATGTTGTCATCATGAACTTTTATTTATTTTATTGTGCTATACGTATTACCTACCATTAGACTTACTAGTTGATCGTGCTTTTGCAACATGAATGAGTATTCTTCCTTTTATAGACCACAGTAGATTCTTGACAATTCTAATTATAACCAAGCCTGTGAAATGCTGAGGTCCATGTGTTGTGTTACCACTACACTTAGCAATGGAACTTCTACCACAAAATGTATCTTGCAGTGGCTGATATTGCTGTTACTACAATTTGAGAGCCTCTTACTGTCCAAAGCTTAATCATTTGCTGATAATTTCTTTTTTTTTGCACAAAATCAAAAATACCGGCATGCTACCGGCAAGACATGCCAGATACCACGAATAAACCTGCGGTAGTGAAAAATTACCGGCATGCCGGTAGTGCGGTAGGGAAATTTTGCAACTCTACACGGATCCCCCCAGCCTAAGTAGTTTAGATGCCTATGCTGAGTGCCGTTATAATCTATCATTGCATTTACCGTTGAAGACATAGGCGGCGGAACGGGGAGGGCACCGTGCCCCCTTTGATTTTGGCATTTTAACATTAGCCCTATGGGCGTTGCATGGAAAGAATGGGACCAAAAGTCGGCAGTACATCCCACCCCCTAATTGAGGGTGTTCCACCGCTACTGGTTGAAGAAGGCATTGATAGTTCAGGGCAAAGCAGCTGGCGGACATACAATTTTTATATCTTTTCACTGAAGAGCCAGGTCCAGTCTCTCTCCCTCTCTCTCTCGCTCTCGCTCTCGCTCTCGCTCTCGCTCTCGCTCTCGCTCTCTCTCTCTCTCTCTCTCTCTCTCTCTCTCTCTCTCTCTCTCTCTCTCTCTCTCTCTCTCTCTCTCTCTCTCTCTCTCTCTCTCTCTCTCTCTCTCTCTCTCTCTCTCCCCCCCCGAAGCCGAAGTCGAGCTAGAGTGTTTAGCCGAAATGTAGTAAGTATGTATCGGCAGCCGTCTTGGGCCTCCCTCTTGTGCGCGCCTGCCGCCGTCATATCTGTTGGACAGCGCTTCCCCCCCCCCTCCTCCCCAACACACTCTCCCCCCGTCTCTGTCCGCCTGCCGTGGCTGGTTACGTCAGCAGCTCGCAGATAAACCATCGATCTACGCGCCATCTGTGATCGTCGTGTGAACTAGCGCTGCTGGGGCTGCGGCCGGCGGAGCAAGGACCGTCGATACGGGCGGCAGTACGGCCATGGGCTAGTGAAAACCGGTTTGGTAGGCCCGGTTGGGCACCTGATAGTCCTGAGGGTCGGGTGATCTCTTAGCTGGCGAGCGGCCTCTTCTATAGGACCACGATTCACGAGAGTTATTCACGATTCACGATTCATGAGAGTTAGTGCTAGCTTCCTGGGCAGGATGCGTGAATATGCATTATGCAGCTTCTATGGATGTAATGGCATTTGATGTTGGTTTTATCACGTGTCGTCAGGGACACACACGATTGGTGCGATATTGTTTCTAGGCAGGCAATATCTCGTTTTGTGTTGAATGCTGAATTACAGTGGTTTTGATTGATTGTGCAGATCGGCTGACAATCAAATTACATTTGGCCACAGGGGACGACATCGTTTCGACTCGGATCATAACATGGCTGAAGTGACCAGCTGTCTGGTTTCCCTTTACCCCCCCCCCCCCCCACTTGTACCTTCGCACGTGACGTACGTGGTGTGAGGTGTCTCAATCAACAGGCTTTGGATAAGCTTTTATGGTCCAGAGGTCGTTGAACATCTTGTACCATGTGTTACCTGTACGTCTGCAAGCTGTCGACATTTAGATGGAATTAACTAAGGTCACATTTCCCTTTCATTCTCAGCTCGCACCAGTGGCACAGCGGCGAAACTGTAGTGTCTGAGGCCGCCACAAGATGGCGACATCGTGGCAGGGCTGCCGCAGCGCGCGGTACCAGCCGTACAGCAACGCCAGTGGCGTCATCGGCAGCGGCGGCGTGGGCGGCATCGGCGGCGGCGGCATCGGCGTCGGCGTTGGCAGCGTGGCCGCCATCGGCGGTGGCGTGGGCGGCGGCGGCGGAGGCGGGGGCGGAGAGAGCATGGCCGTCGGAACCGGCGCCGTCACGCGCTACAACAGCTACAAGGCGGTGAACCCGTTCCTGTGGCCGCGCCAGGAGCGCAGCCAGCGCACCTGGTGGGGCCCGAGCGTGTTCGGGCCGCCCTGGTGGGCGTTTCTACCCAACCGCAGTTTCCCCTGCTGCCTGGTGGCGCTGGTACGAACGACCAACGCCTCGATCGGCATCATCCGGCACTTTGTGGGCTTCCTGGCTCGCTGCAAGGAGACGGACGCGCCGCCGCCACCGCCAGAGATGGTGCATCCGGAGCAGCCCGGTCAGCCGCTCTCAGAAAAGAAACCCTGCAACGTGGAAAGTCATGACCACAGAAATGAGGTACGTAGAGGGAGATAGGGGATTGTCCTTTGCTAGGACTGAAACCCTGAATCGGGAAGGTTCATGACCACAGGGACAAGGTAGGTGAAGGGGAAGTAAGGGGCGTCCTGGGTGACCGTGGCCCGCTGGGTCTCCATGGCATCAACATACGGTTGAGGTGTGATGGTTGATTTAGATCATACGCTGGTAGGAGACGCGTGAGGGTCAATTTACGCTCGGTGTAAGTCTAGTTCGTGTTATCTTTGGTCTAGTATTTTACGTGCCCTGCAACCTTGCGTGTTGTAGCCTATGCTGCTGTATTGCCCACTGCCAATATTCCTATGCTAATGTGCTAGTGACGTTTTAAGCATTCCTGCATGCCGCATAACTAAAAAGATACTTTAAGCAGTTTTTACACTTGATATTGTTCACAAATAATCGTTTTGAAACGTTATACATATTGCAAATGAATGTGACACACATTTTGATCACAACCATTGACTTCCTCATTTGACATGCGCTTAGTTTTGTGAGCACCGAGCACCGCTCAATGTTCTTTGCCGTGTATAGGGACTGGTTCTGTTCGTTACCTTATTTACTCTACGTATATCTGTACTGATATCTTTGCTGATGCTCATCAGTTATGCCGACTGTCTCTGTTCGTGAGCATCATTTACGTGTGTGGGTATCTCTTTGTGTTGGTGGACATCACTTTATGCCAGTGGATATCACCTATTATTCGTCGACCTCACTGTGTGTGCTGTGTCTCCGCCAGGTGTACGGACTGTCACGGTTCTGGCTGTCCACGGAGATGGGCACCAACCCGGCTAAACAGGACATCTCCTTCTTCTGCAACCCGGGCCGCAGCACAGACGAGATCGAGACCATCGTTCTGGGCGACACCAGCGGCACCACGGTCGACGCCGAGACGGGCGAGGTGGCGCTCGTGTCTCGCGATGGCGAGTCGGGCGAGACCATGCTGGTGCACGCCGTGCGTGACCTCACGCGCGAGATCGTGCTTACGCAGAGTCTGTACGAGATCGACGTGCGCCGCCAGTACTTCAGTGACCCGGTCAAGTACGGTCACCTGCTGCGCGAGTTGGATCTGCTGGCGCAGCCGCCCTGCCGCCGTCTGATCAAACCCCTGCACGGTACCATGGGCGACGGGGACACGCTCGAGGCCATCCCCGTCAACGGGGAGCAGCTGCTGCAACTCTGTGTGGCCTATGGCTTCAGCGAGGCTGAGACACAGCGGGTACTCGAGCACTTCCAGTACATGCGCGCCCGGCTGGAGCAGCCGCCGTCGGCACCCGGCAGAGGGTTCCCCTGTTCGCAGGGATCGTTCGGGTCGCCCGCGGCGCCCGGCACGACACCGCACCCTCCCAGTCCACCGCCGACGCCCGGTATGCGTTCAGAGCGACGCGGACCCAGCTTCTCTGCAGCCCTGCGCGGGGGGTTCGGGATGCAGCTGCCGGCCGGCCAGCGGCTGTGCGTGCAGGCTGGCGGCGCACCGTTCGTCCGCGACGGACTCGGCGGCGACCACTCGAGTGACCCCAGCCTGCAGATTGGCGAGATGATGGAAACCGACTCCGGCGGCAGCAGCGACGGCGGCGACTTCCTGACGCGCCACGAAGCTGACCTGAGCGCCGGTGCCGACGTGCCCGTGCACTGGATCGAGGACTGGCCGGAGGCGGCGGCCACCGACCCCTACCGTCGCTCGGTGTCGTTCGACGCCGACAGCGGCGAGTCGTGCTGACGGGAGAGGGGAGCGGAGACAATGGTGGGGAAGGGCGGAAAACGCTGCGAGGAGCGGCGGAGAGCACTGCGAGGAGCGGAAGCCAGGGTGTGTACTGTGTACGGAAGGAGTGCCGCTGGAAGTGGGGAACGTAAAAGATGCGTTCTTACCACGGAGACTGAACTGAGTAGTGGTGATGATAGAGGTAAAATGACGACCAGAAAACGTTCTCATAAAGTGATAATGTGGAATGGGATGACGATGCCTGAGCTGGACTCCAAGTCGTCAGAGCAGCGTGGAACAGTCAGCAATGTGCATTGATGGCAAGGGTGAGCAAAGTATCCAAGGACAACTTGTGCCAGAAACGTCACATTCACGGGCTGTGCGAATGTATGAGGAGGCGGCAGTACCGGGTACCTGGATGTGGTTGAATGTGTCCGATTATCCCTTAAGATGTTGCTGAAATAGTGGACATTGAACAGTATTGGTGATCTTTACTATAAACTAGTGCTGCAACGGGACTGTTGCTAACGCTAGCTGCAATGCAACACGTTGGGATGCAGATTAGCATCAGTGTGAAAGGATATCGTGCAATGTGGTGAAGCTGCTTACAAAGTGAACGGGCGCCCCGGGCGCTGTCGAGCTGCGGTGTGAGTGAGGAGGGCAGACAGGGGCCACTCCGAGTCCGCTCCGCGTGATACAGGCACGCAGAGCTGCGACTGGGGCCGAGCACCTCCTCTGGACTCGCAGGCAGCCGCAGCAGAATACGACAATGCACCACGCAACGCGTGGCGGTTAGTGTTACGTGACGTGACGCCACGGAGTGACGTAATGATGTGAGACGTCACGTACGATGTCGTTAAGTGAGGCAATAAGGACGCTGCTGGTTCAGTGGTGTGACGTTGTACACGTGCTCCTTGGGCGCGCGTGCCGCGCCCATGATGGCCTTTTCAGCTGCTGTGAACTGTTGTACATATATACAGACGTTTCGCCCCACAAAGATGGCCGGCTGACGCTGTTCTTTGCCTGTGATGCCCTTAATTGCTCTGTGAACATTGCAGACCTGTTATTGACTGATTGGTTACCATTGGACTTACCAATTTCATTGCTAAGTATTTCCCAATGTTGGTAGCCACGGGCAAATGTGAAGCAATTGTGTATGCTGTTCGGACATTGCTAGCGACTGCCTATGACCACATAACTACAGCAGGCGACTACATGTCCACTTTCCAGGAAGTCGATCGTCTTCTGGATACACTGATGAACCGAAAAAAGTTGTTTTGTTGTGGGGACGAGCGACAGTAATTGGTTCGGAGTTCAGACTACGACGCTCTACGAGATACGCAACGTGCGATTTTGCGAGATACGAGTTTGCGTACTCAAATTTGTCGTTTACTATACATACTCAATGGTATATTGTATTGTATTGTATTTACATTTAAGAGCGATCCACATACAAAGTGCGTGGCGATTACTGCTCAGAATCCGTATCCGCGGTTGCTAATCTAATCATTCAAAACATTTGCACATTCACTCACGTCAAAACACGGACAAAACACTCAGGACAGCCTCATCGCTCTTACCCACCCCCACCCTATTGGTCAGCGACGATGTGCTGATTGCGGCTTTAACCTTCGAGGCGGTGGGGGGGGCATTTTTTGCCCCCCCCCCCCTTTAGTTTTTTCTATATATCTCGAGAACCGCTGCGCCGATCGTCACCAAACTTTCAGTACCCTCCCGGGAGTAGCTAGCGCACATGATGACCGAAATTTTGTTCCAAAGGCTATGATAGGTTGGCCGCTAATGACGTCAGAGTGACGTCAACTCTGCCATTTTCGACCCAAAAAAAAGGTTTCGCGGGAAGAGCTGTCAGGCCTACAGCTTTAGAGATACAGAAAAATGTTTCAGACATAAAAGGTGAGGAATCAAGAGGGCTACAGAACCGCTATTTTGATTTTTCGTATTTTTAGGATTTTGACCCCAAAAAAATCAAAAATAGATTTTTTGAATATAATAACCGGAAAATCCAATTTTTTTCAAGTTTCGAAAAACCGGGATATATGTAATAGTCCCTACCGCCTTCTATCTACACACCAAATTTGAAATCGATACCTACCTACCTCTTTTTTTGGCCAAGTTATAGCGAAAAAACTGTTCAAAATTGATGACGTCAAATTTTCAAACTCAATTTTTAGCAATTCTAGACCTCGTAGCGCAAAACAAAGACCACCATTAGACTCCCCGTGACGAGCTGCATCGAATCAATACCCATTTTATGCAAAATATCAACTTTGAAATTTGACCTTTTTTGACCTGACCTTGACCTGACCTCCACCAGAAAGTGACCTAAACCGTACCTGATGGTCTTATAACCAACACCATTGAGTTGGAAATGAAAAACTGCCCATAAAATATGCATCGCACAACCTTAGTAAAGTTGGGTTCATGTGGTGACCCTTGGTGACCTTTGGTGACCTGACCTGTGACCTGACCTGGTATGACCAGTGACCTCTAACAGCAACATATGTACTAGACAACTGACGCCCTATCGCTGATTTTCGGCAAAATGCGTTTACTCGGTGTTACAGCGCTTTCCCTAGAAGCCCCGTGAACGGTGAAACATTTTATCTTTGACCTGACCTGTGACGTCATCGGTGACCCCGAGGTCAATGAAATTTGGTTTCCTTCGACAAATGTGACAGCGCTATCGAACGACGTTTGAATTTTCCGGATCCCTCCAGTAGTTTCGGAGATACGGGGGGGGGCAAAAAATGCCCCCCCCCCCCACCGCGCGGAAGGTGGCCGGGAGACCCACCGCCTGCCGGGTTAACAGCGCGGGCGAAACGGGCGGGAGGCAGCTGCGACAGGTGAGGTGGCAGGCTGTTCAGCAGAGATGCAGCTCGATAGCCGAACCGCCGCTTGCCCGTTTCCAGCCGCGGACGGGGAAGATGGAAGAGGTGATCTTGCGTACTCAAATTTGTCGTTTAGGTACCTACTATACATTGCCAAATATATAATTTTTTTCTTACACACTCAAAACTTTTTTACTACCTCCTGGAGGGTTCATTTTCATCAAACCAGCAAGATAAGAGTAGGTATATTGAAAGGGTAACTCTTTGCTACCATTATGTGCATAGTAACGGTACGTGGTTAATATGAACTTATTCGCTAGCGAAGAGTATTATTACCATGTAAATATCAATATTACTCTCGCGATCCAGAACATCACGAAAACTCTTTCCTTCTGGGTATCGTGACTCGTGTACAGATAGTCGTTTCATGCGTGGATCTTGTTTACCCTCGTGAATATGATATTTGAAATGGAATCACTCAGCCAATCAGAAAAGAGATCGGCCGTTTGCGGTTTGAAGGCCGCGCGCATCTGTCAGTTTTCGGCCGTTGGTCTCCGAGAGCGGATGTGAGCAGTGTCGGTGCCGCGCGGCGTGGCCGTTGGTGATTGTGCTTGCGTGTTGTTCATCGCCTATAGAGCCTCTGCATGGACATTTTATTGTAAGTACCGATGTGCTAGAGCATTGCATGCCGTTGAGTGGTGCTAATTTGACCTGGTTAACAGGACCCCGTGCACGGCCACGTGGCCTAGGTTGTGAGTACGTACATTAATTTTGTTGTGATGCTACAAGCTTATGCATTTTGTTGGTGACTTCGAAAAAGCCTTGCACTGTAGTGATCGTCTCATTATCTCACGCAGACGGGCGACCACCCAGGAACGCCGTCGCTCTCTTCAAATATTGTGCGCTGTGCCTTATCCAATATGAGGGCGCTGAATGTCTTGTATTCACATTCAAAGTGCATTCAAGTTGTATCGTAGTGTTTATTTACCGCTTGTGCATTGCTGAACGCTTCGTATAAATTCGTATGCATAAGTGAAGAGTCTCACAATGTTCATGGCTGGTGTGCCCCTCGTATTGTTTGTACGGAAGCCAAATATACATTGTTGCTCTTGAAGCATGTTTTTTTAGTTGGTGAGCTCCGGTTAACAGAAGCTTCGTGAAGCTTCTGAAGGAAGCGTCTGTGAGTCTGTTACCATCCTCTGGGGGGTTTACACTTAAGGAAAGAGTAAACATTACCATGTGACAAAGGGTAGGCCAGAAGATAATACTCTCTGTAGGAGGGTAAAGCACAGAGTAGATGATGCGTTACTCCCTAGAAAAGGGTCCCGTTTAAGATTTACCCTTTCAAAGAGTGTAACCCAAAAAATGTTACACTCTAGACAAGAGTAAATCAAAAGAGTTTACCATTCAGAAGATGGTAAAAAACGTCTGTGTGTCATGTTACCCCTCCCTGGCGAGTTTACTCTTCATGAAAGAGTAAAATTTACCATCTGGAAGGTGGTAAAAAACGTCTGTGTGTCAAGCTACCATGCAATGGCGGGTTTACCCTTCAGGAAATGGTAAAAAAGTTTTCAGTGTGCATGGCCAGATCCCGGGTCCAATTTTTATCCGCCGCCATGGATAAAAATATATAAATATGTTGCTCAGATGGTAAACTATATCGAAGTATAGCGACATTTTCATGTAACTTGCCTATTTCTTCACGCTGCACTACACCTTTTTGCGTTGTTCGATGCGCAGTGTGGCCAAACACCAGTTTAGCGCGAATTAAATCCCAGCGCTGCTCGGATCCGTTGAAAATGGTTCCCTGGTTTCAAAATTGACACTTAAACCTATGTGAGACCTTTTACGATGCATTATAAATGCTTGCCGACATATAATGGCATAGTTCCGCCTCAAAAAGTCAGGAAAACTATAGCTTACGACGGGTGATGTGCCTACCAGGCCAGGGCTGTGAAGTCGATGGAGTTACTCCGACTCCGACTACGGCTTTCAAAAGTCAATTTCAACTCTGACTCCGGGCAAAACTGTCGACTTATACGATCGACTCGGACTCGGACTCCGCAGCCATGGCAAGTCCACGCAGTCGATGTATTTTCGGTGACTCAGACTACGAGTCTTGGTCCGAATCGATTCCGATTCCGACTCTGACTGCAGGGTCAGAACTGTAGACTTCGAACGACTCCGACTCTGATTACGAAATCCTGGAATTTAACCGCAAATAAGAGGCATAAAATTGTGGGTCCCAGCAATAATGGGCATGTTAGGAGGAGGAATCATTTAAAAAATTCCCATCATTTCTCTGGTAAATT